GGACTTGGAGTGAGGAGACCTGTGTTCTGGCCACAACTTGCTGAATGAGCTTAGCAAATCATTTAACGGGCCCTAACTTGTCCCTTAGATTCAGTGTCAATCCCATTTTAAGGCCCACCATGGTCTCCAAGTTTTGAAGTAGTGAAAGGGGTGCCTAATAGGAAACTACTGGTCTGCCTTGGCCAAGGGAACGTCACCTCAACGTTAGACTCTGGTGGAGGTCCAGACCACAATGGATCCTAAAGTTGGGCTCTGGGGACAGACAGTTTCTAGCCTATGGTCAGAGGTTTCTTCTATTCTGTCCCACTAGGGGATGGAAGAAGACAGAAGCACACTTGACCTTGACTTTTGCTCCTTCTTCAATTCAAAACATTGGTGCTGAAAGTCTTGTTATTATCTAATCCAACACACCCATTTTACCTATGAGAACCTTGAGGCTAGAGGAGGGGTGACTGAAAGGGTAAGTGCAGAGACAGTCCAGGACACTTGGACTAAGGCTCTACTGGCAGGTTTTCTCCCTTCATTTGACTAAAATTAGAGAGCTTCGGCAATAACCTTGGAGTGGAAATGAGACAGAGCCAATTCTAGATAAACCACCCTCCTCCAAACTAGAACCATTCCTCCCTCAGAAGTTCAAAGAAATTCCAAGGAAAATTTCAGGAACTGAATCTATCTTCTGTGGAGTGAAAGAGTCAATTAAATCCTAATCTTCTTTGCTTTCCAAACATATATCCTTAAAATCTTGGCTTCTCCATCTGGATGATGATCTTGAACCTTATCGGACCTATTTTCCTCACCTAAAGTAGAATCACTTCTTTACTCCATCCTTAGAGTTTCCTGAGCATCTACTAAGTTCCAAGCTCTGTGCTAAGTTTGGTGAATCCTAACGACACATGCCTAAAGACACATGCCTGTCCTTGGATTATTCCAAGGAGGGATGATTAACAACACTCGTGATGCAATGAGGAGAGCTCCCCCACCCTTAAACTAGACCTGCTTTTCTAGGGTGAGGTCTGGCCAGACTAGATCTGAAGTGGAAGCAGAAGACCATGTCCCTCTGGAGGCTGCCACCCACCCAGTAGGAACATTCTCCCCAGGAAGACAGGCATCTGACATCTCAACCTCCAGCATGGTGCAGCTAGTAGATACTCACACCCACTTGGTAATGGGAGTGGCATGTTGATGAATGGCATCACTAATATTTATCATCAAGCATTTACCATGTATGAAATGTAAAGTATAAAAGAAAGGGGGAAAAAATCAGCTGTCAGTTTCTGCCATCCCAAAGCTAAGAATCTGGCAATAAGCCATGAAAACTGGTGGAATGTGACAAGGGCATGAATGGAAGAGTTTGGACCTCTGGGTCTTGATCCACTTTTGTGTAACCGTGGGCGGGACAGTATCCTTCTTTGCTTTGTTCATTCATCTCTAAGTGGGGGTAGGGCCACAGCATGCAGTGCTGCCCAACAAATGTGTGCTTGATTTTTTTTCCCTTGAAGTTTGGATTTTCTTTCCTTTTAGGTGATTTAAGGTCTGAGCTAGGTTTGTGGGAAGGAAGAGAAGCGAAGCCAGGATCAGATGGGAAGCGGGATAATAAAAGAAACCAATGGAGAAGGATGTGTAACAGGAGGAAGTGGGCTGGGAGAGCGATGAAGAGAGGCAGGAGAGGAAGCTGTCAGAAGGGCCACTCTATGGAGGAGGTTAGGAACACGGACCTTTGCTAGTGCTACTGCACAGCCTGGAGAGGGAAAGGAATGAGTGTCGACGTGCAAGGCCCCCTAGCCATTCAAACCACCAAAACAAAACGGTGGTTAGGCAAGGCTGCTCAAATTGTATCACTTCTGAGCTGGTGGAGGGGGAGGGGGTTGGTCCAAGGTACATTGTGACCTGTGAACATGAATGAGCCAGGAGGAGTAGGAAAGATCCCAGATAACAGTGAAGCAAGATCCAGATGGCCATGTTGCAGAAAAGCCTGGTACCTGCAGCATGGAGCGCCCTGGCCCTAGCAGCCTCCTGCCTGCCTGGAGCCCTGAGTTGTTCCCCATGTGTCAGACATGGCTCCTCGCCCCGGCAGTCCGCACACATTTCTAGCTCTGTCACACATCACTTACCAGCAGATGCTGGGCTACTGATGCATACCACACAGAGGAAAGACCTGTGCTTATTAAATTACTAAATCCTGTCAGAAACGAGGGCAACTTACTCCTAATAGAATTTTTATGTTTCTCGTGATCCTTGGTGACTCCCATGAGGTTTTTAATCTCCAGTGTGGTGCCAGGGATGGATTCCACCAGCCAGTTCCCTCTTTCACAAGCAAAACCCTGAAAAGCAACTCTGTCCCTGGGAGGGAATTGTGCTTTCTTAGTAGCACAGAGCCTTTTTAATTTAAAATCTACTGTTCTGCTACCTGTAGGACAGTGAAAGGGATGTTTTCTTCAGGGAACAGCCTGTGTGTGTGTGTGTGTGTGTGTGTGTAATGGGTGTTCTTTGAAACTCTAACAGTTGGGAGGGTGTGTAATACCATCGCTTATTTCATACTGTCCTGCTCCTCCCTCCTTCCCCTCAACCACCAAACAAGAGAAGTCCATGTGTGGGCTCACACTGCCACCCTGCAACAATCTCTCTTGCGTCGGAAGTCACTCCATTTTTCAGGCTGTTGATGCCGCAATGCTGGACATGGAGGATTACTTAGACTGGGGATGAATGTGGAAAGTGTCTCACTGCATTTAAAGTACCATCAGGTTAGGTAAAGGAGAAACATAAGTCTCACCTTGCAAGAAGGAAAAGCTAAATTTGATGAGTAAACCAGACAGACCTCAGTTGCTTTTCTGGCCTGTGTATTTCATCCACCTGTACTTATTTTTGCTGTTGTCATACCACTCTTTACCCTCTGAGTGTCAGGAGCAAATTAGTTTTCATTTTTTGTTTCTGTTTGTGGGTTGTTATTGTTGTTGTTGTTTTTTTTTTTTTTCATTTAAAACATCTCTTCTTACGCTAGTGATATCATCCCTGGAAGACTGAGCCGTAAGAAGAGTGAATCATGTATCACCTTCACATCTCTTCTAGAATTACATCAGCCAGAACCCCAGGGTGCAGTGAGGATAAAAGCCAAAAAGCAGAGGGGAGGAAGGAGGAAGGGAGCTGGGTTTTTTGCAGTCTGCTTATTTTCTCCTTCCTCTTTCCTCAATCTGTAAGCCCCCCTTCCCTATTTATAAAGCAGATAACGGGAAAAATCAGACTTTTAAAGAGAGAGTTGCCTTATATTTATTGGTAGTGTTGGTTTAAATGTCATTTGTCTGCACTTTTTGACCAGTCACCATACCCCCATCAGTCAGTCACGGAAGAAAGCCAACCTTAGCGTTCTCACTGGACACCTAAACTGGTTAAGAATAAAGATATATGGACCCTGCTCACCTTCAAGTACTGGCCACATGGTCTTCACCTTGTTGAATGCTTTCATCAGTTTCAAATAGCAAAGGAACTTGGCAATGTGTAGAAATAATTTGAAGTGTGAAATCTAGTCACTCAAGATAGTGATGGCCCATACAGCTGTCTGCCGGTCAGGTGACAACAGTGTGGAAGGTACCTGATGTAGGTGTCTAGGTAGGATGGGACTTGACTTTCCTGACCTGTCTCTAGCTGGGGGTTTTAAAATATCATTCAATGAGCACTGGACAGTGTGGCTCAGTTGGCGGGAACATTGTCCTGTACACTGAAAGGTCATGGGTTCGATTCCCAGTCAGGGCGCATACCCAGGTTGCGGGTTCGGTCCCCAGTTGGGTCACATGTGAGTGGCAACCTATCGATGCTTCTCTCTCACATCAATGTTCCTCTCCCTTTCCTGGACCTTGTCTTAATGCCCCTAAGAAGCAGCTGAATATTTTTAAAATTATTTCCCACCCACCTTCCCAAACTTTGCTTTGCTTTTCTAAAGATAGTCTTATGCCTGAAGCATTCCATTAGGAAGATCTTTCCTCTCCCATTCCTCTATGGTTCCAGTGAATTTCAGGCTCCTTCAAATTTCTGGGTCTAGCTGCTTAAAACATATTTATGATGAAAACAAAGCAAAGTAGCCTCAGGACACCAGGGAAGGCCAGGAGTACAATCCATTTCTGCAAGTCATAAAAGGGGCCCCAAGGGGCACAAGGAAAAACTAGTGCGCAGAAGGCACGGTTTTGGCAGCATCTTATTACAACTCCTAGCTGACCGGGTGTAGCCAAATGAGAGACATCTGTTTGGAGTTTACAACAGAAACAAACACACAGAATACATGAAAGCTCTAAAACACACACAGCAAGCTGCAACAGCTTTTCTCTGCCTTGACCTCCACACCATCCCCACACGGGGTACGCTCAGTTGCAGGAGGGAAGGAAAGAGGTCCTTCCACCTGCCTCCCCACCGACCCCACCTCTACTCACTCACGCCATCATTGAAACCTCCCAACTTTCCTCTACCCTTGCTTTTCCTTCCAGAAAACAAACAAACAAAACAAAACAATGATGGTCCTACTCCCCAGAGAGCCCAGTGGAGACTTTCTTTAGATCTCTAGTTTATTTTTAAAGCTCCCTCAGCTGTTTGTAAAGGGAAAGATGTATTGTAATTCTTACACTTGATCATTAGCATGAACCACAGAAGGTGGTAAAACCTCCCAAGATGTTGAAAGTCACTCCTCCCTAAATAACCTCACAGGTCTGAGTGTGAGGAACAGAACTCACCCTACATCTCTAAGAATTATCTCAAAGAGACCAAAGAAAGCCCATACTCCCAGAAATTAATTAATTAAGAATGTGGGACATACTTGAGAAGGCTGTTCCCAGCCACAGTACCCAGAGTGGCAAGTAGCCAGAGAGGCCCCCAACTTCACATAAAGTAGGTCCCTCCCTTAATCACCTCTGAGTGAGGCAACTGCCACAGGTCCCACCACACCGCCCAGCCCCGCAAACCCCCTCTCCAGCCCCCACCGCCCCGCAGCCTCAGCAGCAGCTCCAGACGCTCACCTGTTCTGCTCAATTTTCCTCTTTATTCTCTCCCCACTGGCGGGCAAACAGAACCAGAGTAGTGCTACTCTTCAAAAATAACAAAAGGCTTTATACACATTTCTGTATATACAACTGAACAACATTGTACATGTCCCTTTTGCACAGCAAAAGATATAAACATCCAGCTCTGAGAACACAGTTATGTACAAAAACAAAGATGTCAAAAATACTTCACAACAGTGCAAAAATATTTTTACACAGTATCATGGAGTGAGAGCTTTTGAGCAAGAAGGAAGGTGTGTGTGTTTCTAAAGGAAAACTCCTTTTTTTTAAGATATTAGATGTCTTTAACTGTAAACAAAATACAACTTTCTTTCATTTCCCTCCCCCACCCCCACCAAACAATTATCTGAGGAATTTGGCAGAATTTCAAGGGTCTTAGTCTGAGGTAAACAACCCAAGCACTCGCACCGAGAGACTGGGGGCTCAGAGGCGGCACTAAAGCCTCAAACCGTGTGATTGTAAATTCCTTTTCCTTTTAAATAACATGCCAATGACAACGCTCGCTCGCTCTCAATAGGAGGGGTGGGGAGGAAGTGAACCCCTGCTCCTGAGGCCCCAGCGCCCCACAAACAGGAAGCCGGCCGGCGGGCACCTGACGCCTGCGGGGCTTTGCTAACTCCTGCGGGCATTTCCCTCACCCGGGACCCCAGAGCGTTGTGCCTCTCTTCTTCCTTGTAGGGCTCCCCATCCCACCCCCGCACATCTCCACAGGCAACCTGAGCTCCACTTACAACAGAGCTAAATGTGTGGAGGGAGAGGGGCAGAGGGAACTCCGGGCCTTAGGCCTCCATTTCCCCTTTCCTGCGAGCGAGCAGGGACCGGCGGGGTGGGGTGGCAGGGAGAGGTAAGGAGGCGGTCGAGAAGACGTGGGGAGTCACGGTGCGGCGCCAGAACGCGCGCGTAAGGTTGCGGGGAGCTCAGCCCGAGTTCGGCTCATCTGGGCTGGTGCGGTCGGTAGGGCGGGACTGGTCGCCGGCAGTGGCAGAGGTGGCGTCTGCGCCCCCGCCTTCTATGGAACTCTCGCTACCGGTGCTCTCACCAGACAGCAGGCGCGTCACCCGCAAATCGGCCTCCAGGCTTCGCACGTCGTTGCCGAAGCTGAGCTCGCCCAGGTCGTTAATAACCTGCGACAGCTCTGCTTTCACGTCGGAGGAGCTGCCCAGCAGCAAAGGCCGGGGCCCAACCCCGGGGCTCAGCGAGACCCCGCCGTCCCGCAGCGCCTCCTCCCGGCCACTCTCCAATGTGTCCAGCAAGTCCCCACATTCGAAGTGCATGGCCACCACCAGTGCCCGCTGCTCCTCCACTTCTTCTGCGGGGTCCTCCTCCCTGACATGGTCTTCCTCCTCCTCTTCCTCTTCCTCCTCCTCCTCCTCCTCCAGGTAGCCCTCGTTGTGCTCCTCTTCCTCTTCTTCCTGAAGCTCCTGTTCCTGCTGTTCGCCGACCAGGTCCTCAGTGATGGAGCCGAGCTTGGGCGCGCTGCGGCTGCGCTCCACCGGCGGCTTGTAGCAGCAAGGTCCATGCAGAAGCAGCTTGCGCAGCGGCACTAGTGGGATGGTGTGCGCGCCTACCAGCTCCTGCTGCTGGTGACGCGCGTCGTCCCGCCGCTTAAGCCGTTTAAATTCCGCCAGTGCGTTGGCCGATGTTTGGTAGAGCAGCAGGGCCATGGCCTGCGCCTTCTCGGGCTTGGACACTAGCACCGCGTGGCAGCGAAGCATTACCGCCTTGTGCTTGAGCTCGTGCCGATACACCCAGGCGAAGACCTTGGGCAGCCGCGCGTCCGCCACGCAGTAGGTAACGCGGTGCAGCAGGTAGAGGTGGCCCGGACGGCGCAACGCGCGCTCCTCCGCGTGCACCATACGGATACCCTGCGCACTCACAGTCAGTTTCATCTTGGTGCCTTGACGGCCTGCCTCGCTCTTGCTCCAGATCTTGCCCACAGCTAGGTCGGTGCAGCCGTCGCCTCGCGCCTGGATGGTGGTAGCATTGCCCAGGTAGAGCACAGTATAAGTAGGGTCCTCGCTGGTGATGTGCAGCTTCTTTCGTTTGGAGCGGAACATGCTGCCCACTCGGCTGAGCGCGCCTTCGGGGCACGCTCGCGCCAGTGAGCTGAGCGCTGAGTAGTGCAGGCTCACCGCGTAGTGCTTGGGCTTGGACGCCTGCCTCGGCGGCGCCTCGGCCAGCAGCTCAAACTTGTGTTTCTTCCACGGCAGCATCTCCGGAGGGCGCCCCGGCGCAGCTGGGCGGCGGCGGCGGGTGCGAGTCCCGCTGAGCCACCCGCCTAGGCTGGGCTCGGCCCGGGCAAGACCGAAAAATAAAACTCTGCTGGGAGTGGCCCAGTGGTAAGGAGTTGGGGGGCGGGAGAGGGGTGTAGTGCTCGGAAACCCTGCGGGGGTTACGGGTAGATTTTTTTAAAAGGTTAGAAAATATTCAGCTGCGAGTGTGGAAAAAAGCGCACACAGGATTTACTCCAGCCTGGGCAGGGGAAGAGGCAAAGAGTCTTAAGCAAGGAAAATGAGAAAAAGACCGAACGAGAGTGGTGTAGACAATATCTTTAGGAAACAAAAAATGATGCGCCCCTGAAAATAAATAGAGGGACCCCAAGCAAAAGCAGCCGAGATGGTGCTAAAATAATGCAGGACCTCCTCGGCGAATGTGAAAAGGGCCGCCCTCTCAAACATACACACAATTCCCAGGGCTGGGGCCAGAAGCCTCGGAAACTCAACAGCGAGTGAGCCTAGGGGCCAGTGCTCCCCACCCTCAGGGGGTGCTGGAAGCGGAGAGCCTCTCCGCTGGGCTGGTCCCAGAATCAGCTGCTTGTCCCAAGTGTGGTCAGATGGTGGGTCCGGCTGGCCGCGGAGGGCCCCGCGCAGCAGTCCCACCGTGGCTCTCACTGCATCTTGGCTCCGACCGGACGCGGGGGACTCTCGCTCCGCCGGCTCACTGTCCGGGCTGGCTCCGCCGGGGTACCGCGGGGCTCCAAAGGCGCGGTGCGTACATGGTCAGCTCCAGGGACGGTCGCTACCTCATTTCTTCCTTCTGGGGTTCTCCAACTCCGCTCCCGGGCTCCGCTGGGTCTGCTACTCTCCTATGCAGCGCGACCCCTCCGGTGCTGCGAGAGCTGGCCAGCTCGCCAGCCTCACATCCTTGCGGTCCGGGACGAACATCTCGGGTAAATATAGGCCGGAGCGAACCATTCGCTGCGCAGGGACAGGGGAGGAGCAGAGATTATCTGTTTCGGTCTCGGACGCCCGGCGGGTTCCTGGTCTCTTAAAGGGACCTGGTTGCAGCTCTTGGTCAAGGGAATGGGGAGACTGCTCAATCCAGCAATTACAGTTCAAAGTTACCGGCATCTCTTTTACCTACAGATATCGCCAAGATCTGGGCTTACCCCTCTGGTGAAGCATCTTGAATTCTGACACTCCACCCTCAAGATAAATTGCAACTCACTGAATAAATGTCTCCATCGAAACTTATGGAGGAGGTGGTACAAGGTGGAATTTTATACTACAGCTTATTATGCAAAAAGGTTGTGGAAAATAGTAGTTTTTCTTTGCGTGACAGCTCTCTGAGAATGGAGGGGTGCTGTTTAATTTTTTTTCTTCCAGAATTTTATTCTATTAAAGAAACTGGAGAGGGACAAAGAAAACACCAAGACTTATCTTTCATTATCTGGAGCCTTTCTCCACAGGTAATAGTGAGACGACTGGAGGGAACCATATAGTAGGTAGTCTGTCTGAGAGTAAGATGCTCCCCGCTCCTGACCCCCCCGCAGTGCCCCCTGCTGCTGTCAGGTTCGGCATTATCTCAGTTTTCTGAGAGAGTTTCCAAGTAATGCTTATGTGTGATCAGAACTCAGTTTTAATCACACATAAGCATAAGACTGATTTGACAGGCCAGTCATTCAATTTTTTTACATCATTGACATATTTTAGATGAGAATTCCTAGTAAAAATTCAAATGATGTTTTTTACCTGAGTGTCAAATAATGGCAGGCGACCCTCCACTGGGAATGAATAGTTATGTGAATCGCACTTTTTTTATGTGCCAATTAGACAATGTAGCTTTAATCATCTGACCAGCTTGACCTTTGGCTACTAACTCATTTCTGGGCTTTGGAACAACCTGCTTGCTTCTATGGTCATCTCAATCAAAGAAAAAAAACAAAAAAAAAAAAAACAAAAAAAACCCTTCTAGCTAGAAAGTGTGATAAACGCCAGATGACCCTGTGCCAAACACCCAAATTCCTCCTGCAGTTGGACAGTGTGACCTACAGTCCACAGGCCTCATCCACGGGGGGATGGTGGGCGTCTCTGGCTTCCAGGCCAGATTTCAGAAGCACTGTAGCCCCTCCTGGAAATTCCCTGGCCTTCTACCTTTGCTAACTTATAACCTTTTAAAAACTCTAACCCAGTTTTCTCAAAGTCACTGGTGCTGAGTTTCAGTTTAAGTGGCTTCTGAGTACCTTTTGGTGCCAGTCCCTGACCTAGTAGTCCCTTGTAGACCCAATTCCTGTCTCCAAAAGCTCCCAGTCCAGTGAAGCTCCCGCCCAGCTCTGGGTTTGCAGTTCTGTGAGAGCACCCTGTATCCCCCGTGCCCAGTGCAAACAGGCACTGCTTAATTGTTGAGTCAATGAATGGGACATGAGTGTGAACAAGAAGACAGAGTGAGCCAAATGTCCTGAGAAAGATCCAACACTGGAAGAAGAAATGGTTCATTGTGCCTAGGAAAATCAGAGAAGGCTCCACAGAGGTAGTAATGTATGAAGGATAAACAAGCAGGGAAGAATTAATGGGCTTTCTGGGTACAGGGGGCAACAAAGTTATAGAACAGGAAAATGCATGCGCACGTGCAGATTAGGATGGAGTTTAATGATTGTAACGATGAAAGAAGAAAATTTCCTGATCAAAGAAGGAAGTCTCTTGACCATGCTTTTTTTTTTTGCCCCTGCCCCCCAAGTCTCTGAGGGAAGCAATGGCTTTTCCATGGCCAGCCAGCCCCAGCCTGTCATTAGACCAGAGCTGCCATGTCTTACTCCTCAGCTGCACAGATGGACACCAGGGATGAGGCTGGAATGAGCTAGTTAGGATTACAATAAACTACGTAAGCTAAAGTTAATCCCTTTTTCTCTCAAATTTCAGAATATGTTGCAGTGGCAATGAATTAGAAAGTACATGCTCCAAACAAAAAAATCCAGTAAAAATGCACCAAATTAACCTGTGCTAAATGACCTTTTAACTGGTCCATAATCTCAAAGTCTAAACTCTACAAAAATATACATCATACTCAACCAGTTAACATTTCCAAACTGCTTGGAGGTTCAAGGGTCAGAAGGGTTTGGGGAGGAGGGGGTAGGACATGTAGGAGCTACGGTCGGCCTCACCGTCTGCACGGGGCACCACCGTGGGCTTCACGCAGTGGCAGGGAAACCAGTGGTGCAGAGTGGCAGGGAGGGTTCCACTGGTGAGTCAAGCTTTTCAATGGCAGCCAGAGTGTCAGTCCCAGACACACAGGCCCACAGAGTGCTCCTGTAAACTGGTCTCTGCCCCACCTGGACTACCTTCTTAGTAAGCTTGTTTTCAACCTCAAGAGGACAGAAAGGCTCTAGATAAACAGGAACACTCCTTTGTGTGAGTCATGCTCTGTGGCTGTGCTCTTAGACCCAGGAGGAGGACCAGGCTCTTTCCTGGAAGCCTGGGCCAGCCTCTGTGGCCTGCCTCACCTTTTGGGGAAGCTGGCCACCCCTTTGGAAATCACAAGTCACAACTGAGTCTTTGTTCATTTTGTTGGGAGAGCTGGTGGCACCATTTATGAGCCCACACCACAGATCTGAGATGTAGGGCCTTTCCAGAACAGAACTTCAGCAAAACGTGTTGGGAAAGGGGTTAGACACCCCACTGGAGGGAAGGCCATGTTTTTTTTTGTTATGACGCTGCCCCATCTACTGGTGCCAGGCAGAAGTACCACTTAGTGAGATGGTTTCTCACAGAACCGGATAAACCAGTGGTTGGATCAACAAGCAGCCAAGTCACAGCTGCAAAGCAACCTGGCTTCTACGCTGACATCTGAGAGTCAGCCTTTTAGCTCACGGAAAGCTTTCAGGCTGCCTTTCTCCCACCTTGTTTCCTGCATAATGCTCCTCCTTTTTGGCCCCTTCCCCCAACGTCCTACTAAATGAACATTGACTTCAGAAACAAAAAACGAAGAATCTGGAACCTTCAGTCATTCAACAAATATTTGTTTAGAGTCTATTGAGAATATGACGTAGTTGCTGGGGATATTGCTCTAAAGAAGGCAGACAGTTCTTTGCCCTCATGGGATTTATATCCTACAGGGAGGCAGATAATAAGCAAACAAATAACTAACAAGACATCAGGTAGCAATAAATCTCTGAGGAAAAGAGGGGGGAAAGTGTTAGGAGTGTAAGGTGGCTGGTTGAGACAGTGTGACCAAGAAAGACATCTCTGGGCAGAAACCTGAACGAGATGGAGCCACCCATACAAAGATTTGGGGAGAGGGGAGCAACGTTCCATTCTGTGCTGATGAACATGGTAGCCACGTGGGCTAATGAGCAGTTGAAATGCAGTTGGTCCAAATTGAGATGTGAAGCAAATATGAAATACACATTGGATTTTGAAGAGGTAGTAAGATAAAAATGAAGTGAAAATACCTCAATAATTTTACAGTAATTGTATGTTGAATGATATTTTGACTATGTTGAGTTAGAATATATTATTAAAATTAATTTTGCTCTCTTCCTTGTACCTCTCGAATGTGGGTACTAGAATATTAACAACCATGTGTATGGACAACATTGTGCTAGGCAAACGGTATAGCTAATGTGAAGGCCTTAAGGTGGGAATAAGCTCAGCAGTTTCAAAATTGAGCTCCAGCTTCAAAAATCCCACTGTGTGGTCCCAGCCTTTTACTCTGCCAGCCCTCCTAACTCCTGACTCCCATCACATGAGTTCTTTAACCTTGAGACTTCCAGGATCTACATCTGCATTCCTCACAGAGAGGATTCTCCCACTAGCCACATCAGAATTCACTGGGCCAATTCTTAGATCGCACCCATAAATTGAAATCTCTGCTTCAACTTCTCCTGTGATTGAACATTTATTAAAGTTTAGGGGGCCCTGCCCTAGCCCACTTCATTGTTTCCTGTACCATCTCCTGCCTAGCCTTATCTTTCTGCTCCTCCCTACCCAAGACCTGGCAGATGAGTGTCAGATCCACAGTTTCTCTACAACACTCCCACCCAGCAGACCCCTGACCCTGGACCACTACCGCAGTCCACGTGCTCTGCTTCTGGAGCTGGACTGCTAAGTAGCTTCCCTCAGATGCTCTATCCTCGACACACTTCTCCCACGGTAAGCAGAGTAATGACCCCACCACAGAGATGTCTCTGTCCTAATCTCCAGAACCTGTGATTATGCCACATCACATGGCAAAGGGGAAGAAAGATTGTAGATGGAATTAAGGTTGCTAACTAGCTGACCTTAAAACAGGGAGAGTATCCCCAGTTATCCAGATGGGCCCAATGTAATCACCAGTCTCCCTCAAAGTGGAAGTGGGGACCTCAAAAACATTATGTGAAGTGAAAGAAGCCAGACACAAAGGTCATGTATTACAGTAGTCCATTTATATGAACTGTCCACGATGGGTGGGTCTGTAAAGACAGAACACAGATCGGTGGTTGCCAGGGGGTGGGGGAGGAAGGAATGGGGGAACACTACTTAACAGCTGCGGGGTTTCCTTTTGGGGTCATGAAAACATTTTGGAACAAGATGTAGTGGTGGCACATTGTGAACGTGCAAAATATTACTTAATTGTTCACTTTAAAATGATTGATTTTATTCTATATGCATCATATCATGATTTATTTTTAATTGGAAAGAAGGAGGCAGGAGGGGATTGGAGCGATGCAATATGAGAAAGTCTCCACCTTCCCTTGCTGTTTTGGAAGATGGAGGAAGGGGCCAAAAGCCAAAGAACGCAAGCACCTCTAGATGCTGGAAAAGGCAAGAACTAATTCTGCCCCATACCTTCCAGAAAGGACACCCTATGACACCTTGATTCTAGCCCAAGGAGACTGGTGTTGGACTCCTACCCTGCAGAACTGTAAATTTGTGTCAGGTTAAGC